ATCAGTCTATTATTGTCTTCAACTATCATTGTCTTATTATTGTCTTCAACTGTCAGTCTTATTATTGTCTTCAACTATCAGTCTTATTGTCTTCAACTATCAGTCTTATTATTGTCTTCAACTATCATTGTCTTATTATTGTCTTCAACTATCAGTCTTATTATTGTCTTCAACTATCAGTCTTATTATTGTCTTCAACTATCATTGTCTTATTATTGTCTTCAACTATCATTGTCTTATTATTGTCTTCAACTATCAGTCTTATTATTGTCTTCAACTATCATTGTCTTATTATTGTCTTCAACTATCAGTCTTATTATTGTCTTCAACTATCATTGTCTTATTATTGTCTTCAACTGTCAGTCTTATTATTGTCTTCAACTATCAGTCTTATTATTGTCTTCAACTATCAGTCTTATTATTGTCTTCAACTATCAGTCTTATTATTGTCTTCAACTATCAGTCTTATTATTGTCTTCAACTATCATTGTCTTATTATTGTCTTCAACTATCAGTCTTATTATTGTCTTCAACTGTCATTGTCTTATTATTGTCTTCAACTATCAGTCTTATTATTGTCTTCAACTATCAGTCTTATTATTGTCTTCAACTGTCATTGTCTTATTATTGTCTTCAACTATCAGTCTTATTATTGTCTTCAACTGTCATTGTCTTATTATTGTCTTCAACTATCAGTCTTAATTATTGTCTTCAACTATCAGTCTTATTATTGTCTTCAACTGTCATTGTCTTATTATTGTCTTCAACTATCAGTCTTATTATTGTCTTCAACTATCAGTCTTATTATTGTCTTCAACTGTCATTGTCTTATTATTGTCTTCAACTATCAGTCTTATTATTGTCTTCAACTATCAGTCTTATTATTGTCTTCAACTGTCATTGTCTTATTATTGTCTTCAACTATCAGTCTTATTATTGTCTTCAACTGTCATTGTCTTATTATTGTCTTCAACTATCAGTCTTATTATTGTCTTCAACTGTCATTGTCTTATTATTGTCTTCAACTATCAGTCTTATTATTGTCTTCAACTATCAAGTCTTATTATTGTCTTCAACTATCAGTCTTATTATTGTCTTCAACTGTCATTGTCTTATTATTGTCTTCAACTATCAGTCTTATTATTGTCTTCAACTATCAGTCTTATTATTGTCTTCAACTGTCATTGTCTTATTATTGTCTTCAACTATCAGTCTTATTATTGTCTTCAACTATCAGTCTTATTATTGTCTTCAACTGTCATTGTCTTATTATTGTCTTCAACTATCAGTCTTATTATTGTCTTCAACTATAATTCCTCTAGTTAAAAAAAAAACTTTAATCTGCCCGAGATAATTACAAAAATCTGGTATTTTTCCAAGTATAACCTAACTATATGTAGTGTAATACTGTGTAATGCCATGGTAAATATACATTACCTCTCTCTCTCTTATATATATGTGGTTCCGAATAGGTAAAACTAGTCAACTAACGAACTCGTTTAACTAAAATTAAGTCCTCTCTAAATTTTTCTCTTATACATTTAAAGATATATTTTTTTCATTTATATTAATGTAAAAATTAATAATTTTGTACCAAAAGAACCTTAGAAAACTAACCTAACCTTATTATAAAAATCGCAATTTAATTTAGCCTAATGAAACTAAATATAATTTTGTTAGGCTCAGGATTATTTTTGCGAAATTATTACAAAAACAAATTTTCGCTTGCCTTATTCGGCAAGAAAAGCGTTGCTATTTAAGCCAAACTCCCAAGTTTTACCTATTTGGCACGATATATATATATATATATATATATATAATATATATATATATATATATATATATATATATATATATATATATATATATATATATATATATAATATGCAATAAGATCACAGTAAACAGGTGATTTCAGAATATGCAAAACAACCACTCTGAAAGAATAGAGAAATTCCAAGGGCTTTCGTGACTACTCACATTATCAAGGAACTATGATAATGTGAGTAGTCACGAAAGCGCTTGGAATTTCTCTATTCTTTCAGAGTGGTTGTTTTGCATATATATATATATATATATATATATATATATATAATATATATATATATATATATATATATATATATATATATATATATATATATATATATCGTGCCGAATAGGCAGAACTTGCGATCTTAGCTTAAATAGCAATGTTCATCTTGCCATATAGGACAAGTGAAAATTTGTGTATGCAATAATTTCGCCAAAATCATTCTGAACCTAACGAAAAAAATATATTTCACTGTGTTTGTTTAGTATTAAATTATTGTAAACAAATCTAAAATATATTTAGTTGGGTTAGGCTAAAATAAATTGTTCTTGTTATAATAAGGTTAGGTAAGTTTTCTAAGTTCCTTTTGGTGCAAAATTATAAATTTTTACATCAACATTAATGAGAAAAATATATCTTTAAACATATAAGAGAAAATTTTAGAAAGGACTTAATTTTAAATGAGTTCTTGCTAATTGACCAGTTTTACCTATTCGGCACGACATATAATATATATATTATATATATATATATATATATATATATATATATATATATATATATATATATATATATATATATATATATATCAGTAACAACACTGCGACTAGCCAAGGAGTCGAACCCACGCTGCTTTGGCCTGCCTCATGGTGGGCGAAAACTCATGACGCCTTAATCCACGGAACCACACAATCCATTGTGTGGTTCCGTGGATTAAGGCATCATGAGTTTCCTCCCACCATGAGGCAGGCCAAATCAGCGTGGGTTCGACACCTTGGCTAGTCACAGTGTTGTTATTGATCAATACCACTTGTTCGTGGGCATATATATATATTATATATTCTTGATGACCTTGCTAGCATTGTGCCGATGTTGCATGAATAATTACCTCCAAGAACCCAAGTTAATAATGAGAACAAGTTTTTGATGATCAAGACGCACGTGTACCATCTTGGTATTGTTTATCCAATAAAAAGACGCACAGGTGTTGCACGTCTTGGCAACTTGTCGGTACTATATACTTTTCACTTAAAGAACAAACTCTGTCACAACGTTTTGCTCTCTGACTTCAAGCTCTACACAGAGTGTAAGACTTCAAGCTCTACACAGAGTGTAAGACTTCAAGCTCTACACAGAGTGTAAGACTTCAAGCTCTACACAGAGTGTAAGACTTCAAGCTCTACACAGAGTGTAAGACTTCAAGCTCTACACAGAGTGTAAGACTTCAAGCTCTACACAGAGTGTAAGACTTCAAGCTCTACACAGAGTGTAAGACTTCAAGCTCTACACAGAGTGTAAGACTTCAAGCTCTACACAGAGTGTAAGACTTCAAGCTCTACACAGTGTAAGACTTCAAGCTCTACACAGAGTGTAAGACTTCAAGCTCTACACAGAGTGTAAGACTTCAAGCTCTACACAGAGTGTAAGTTTGTGTCAACAAAACTTTCTTCTCGCACTTTCACACCATCTTACCCTTCTCAATCTTTGACTTAAAGGTAAATATTTTAAGTGTAAATTCATAGAGGAAGTGCTTAAGAGGCACTTAAGTTCCCCCGTCTTCTAATAACCTGTTCATTTTTCCACTATAATCTACCTTGTCCATAATTACCATCACGGTTAAGACACATGTGCAACATCTGGATATCTTTATTGTAGTAGACGTTTCGCCATCCAGTGGCTTTATCAATACAGATTCTATTATGTCCTAGAATCTGTATTGTTAAAGCCACTGGATGGCGAAACGTCTACTATAATAATGATATCCAGATGTTGCACATGTGTCTTAATTTTCATATTGTCGGTATTTTATACCTTTCTTGCACAATTACCATCACATTTACTGTGTCTCGTAAGGTGAGGTCCAGGAGCTTTCCTTAATTCATGGTGTAACTTAACAAATATTTGATGACAATTGTTGTGGAGTTCTGAGCACAGCTGAGACCTCGACAACACAATTGTTCTCAAATATTTAAGTTATACCACGAATTAAGGAAAGATCTTGGACCTCACCTTACGAGACACAGTAAATATGATGGTAATTATGGACAAGGTAGATTATAGTGGGAAAATGAACGTATCATGCACCTGGGTATTGGGAGGTAATATGGTTTGATTCAGGAGAAGGGAGTCTCTAATTCCTTGGACTATTAGCCCTTCACCGGCATTAGGCACGTTCGTAGAAATAGTGTTTGTATGTTGTTTCGTTAGATGTATAGACAGACAGACACAGGAGAGGTTAAGGGAAACTAACCTGACGACCACGGAGGACAGGAGGGATAGGGAGGGCATAATAACGACATATAAAATACCTAGAGGAACTGACAGTGTAGATAGGAACAATGTTTCAGAGATGGGACACAGCAACAAGGGGTTATAACTGGAAATTGAAAACTCTAATGAGTCACAGGGATGTTAGGAAGTATTTCTTCAGTCACAGAGTTGTCGGGAAGTGGAACAATCTGGAGTGATGTAGTGGAGGTAGGATCCATACATAGCTTTAAGAAGAGATATGATAAAGCTCATGGAGCAGGGAGTGGACCTAGTAGCAACCAACGAAGAGGCGGGTCAGGAGCTATAATTCGACCCCCCTGCAACCACAAATAGGTGAGTACAAGTACAGAAGGGAGAGGTGCGGGATTAAAAGACAATGAATCCTGCTACAAAGTGGGAGTTGTCACAGTTGATCTCTGAAGGCGACACGGTTCCCTTGAGAGACTGAAGCGGAGATGCACAGTTGGTGGAGAAATATGGGAGGATATGCAAAAGAAGAAAATTAAAAGCGAACAGAGGAAAGAGCAAAGTGATGAGAATAACAAAAAATCTAGACAATGACAGATTGAATATCAGATTGGAGGGGGGAAGTGAGTGCACTCAGATGTTTGGGCAGAGACTTGTCCTCAGATAAGTCTTTTAAAAATGAGGTGAACCACAGAACAAACTAGAGGTAAAAATCAGGTAATATACTCACCAATATTTGGTTGGACGAGTCGAATCTCAGCTTCCGGATGTTGTCGAGGCACCTGTGGGAAGAAAAAAAATTGATGTATAGAGGCAAGAGGAGGAATGTACCAGAGTATATAGTGGCACCAATACTTTTATATAGATGAGAGACGTGGACATAGAGAGGAGCCTGAAGGCAGTGATATAGTTATTAAAGCAAATGCATTATGCATAATTTTCGGAGCTTGGAGATCAGAAAATGTGGGGTTACCAAGTGCTTAATTCAGTGCATAAGAAGGGCAGTTGAGGTGATTTGGAAATTTAGAGCGGATGAAGCAGTTCTGTATGATCAAGATGGTACATAAATCTAGGTGGAAGAAGGTAGGGGTAGAGGTCGTCCCTGGATGGGTTGGAAGGTGGGTGATAATTGAGGTTTTGATAGGGTTTTCGGTATTCAACAGGTCTGTGTAAGCATGTTAGATTGGAGTGGAATTTAGTGGTTTTTATGGCTTGACGTCCTGTTGGGATGCAATCAACGTAACATTTATCAAGAAATTCAAAGGAACCGGTTAGCCAGACTTGAGTCCTCCAGGTGGGAGTGCCGGCATATTGGAGGAGAGGCGGGAATATTACACGTTGATGGGTTATGTATGTTGTGATGTGTGTGCACTTGGGCAAGACAGCTACTAAATGAGTGATGGTAAATTACATGATAATTCTGCCCAAGTAGCATGCTACCAACGGAAAGTAACTTTATAAACATTATCCGCCATGTTATAGTTCTTGTTGTTTTAGTGCCATGTCCTCACCATACTGTGCCCGTGTTTCCCTGCTTTTTGGTGGGGGGTTATATCACCGTGTTTCCCTGCTGTTTGGTGGGGGGTTATATCACTGCTATTATTACTTTTGTTGTTCCAAACATTATTGTACCTGATATAGTTTTGGATAATTATATCAGTGAGAAAGTTAGTAAATATAAGTCAGTAGGCCTTCAGCAGTGTTCCTCCATTATGTTCTTACTAAACTCACAGGGGTCAGATCACTCTTTAAGAACGGCAGGAAATCATGTCTGACCTGAAGGAAGGCTAATCTAAACATCCCAGTATCAAGAGCAGGCACCAGAACCTTACTTTCAAAGGGAACATTCACAGATACAGCGAAGATACAGAGGACCATCTTGATTACTTTCGTGCACTTAGAAATATTTAAACATAATAATGTAACCAGATTTTCTTGGACCTTTTGTGTGTGTGTGTGTGTGTGTGTGTGTGTGTGTGTGTGTGTGTGTGTGTGTGTGTGTGTGTGTGTGTGTGTGTGTGTGTGTGTATGTATATATATATATATATGTATATATACATATATATATATATAATATATATATATATATATATAAAATATATATATATATATATATATATATATATATATATACTCTCTTGCAACCTTCCACAGGATGTATATGGGGGCGCACAATAAACTAGCCACTTAGCTGCAAAGTCCAAAATGTAAATCTGTCGAGCTCGCCTAGATTTCATCAGTAGGTCCAAGTGGGACTAAAAGAACCCCAATGGAAATAGGTCACTTTGACATTTTTGGGTTATCCTAGGTTCTCTACACATATGCTATGTATTATAACCTATGTCACTGTGTATACCTGAATAAACTTATTAACACTGTCATAAGCTCCTCCCCTCCCTTCCTGTATGCGAGTTGTGTACAATTATTTGCAGAGGCAGACATGAAGGCTGGTAATGCAAATGTTTGGTAGAGCAGCGGTCAGACGGTGCGTTACTGTGTTGTGGTGTTATGTAGCATCTCTTGCCTCACTACTGGTTGTTTTGTGTTATCTGCAAATTGTCCTCTTGTCTACTGGTGGGTCTCGGTTAACGTTTTGGATACACCCGCTCTACGTCTTATGAGAGAAACGTAGCATGCGATGTTTATGGTTGTAGCTGAGGTGTTTGATATTGAGGCTTTGCCATGCCTTTGATTACTGCAGGCAGAGTTGCCACGTCTGTGTTGATTACTGCAAGCAGTGTTGCCACGTCTGTGTTGATTACTGCAGGCAGTGTTGCCATGTCTGTGTTGATTACTGCAAGCAGTGTTGCCACGTCTGTGTTGATTACTGCAGGCAGTGTTGCCATGTCTGTGTTGATTACTGCAAGAAGTGTTGCCACGTCTGTGTTGATTACTGCAGGCAGTGTTGCCATGTATGTGTTGATTACTGCAAGCAGTGTTGCCACGCCTGTGTTGATTACTGCAAGCAGTGTTGCCACGCCTGTGTTGATTACTGCAAGCAGTGTTCCCACGTCTGTGTTGATTACTGCAGCCAGTGTTGATTACTGCAGGCAGTGTTGCCACGTCTGTGTTGATTACTGCTGGCAGTGTTGCCACGTCTGTGTTGATCACTGCAGGTAGTGTTGCCACGCCTGTGTTTACTGCAGGCAGTATTACCACGCCTGTGTTTACTGCAGGCAGTGTTGCCACGCCTGTGTTGATTACTGCAAGCAGTGTTGCCACGCCTGTGTTGATTACTTACGGCAGTGTTGCCACGTCTGTGATTAATACAAGCAGTGTTGCCACACCTATTTGAATTGCTGCAAGCAGTGTTCCCACACCTATGTTTATTACTGCAGGCAGTGTTGCCACGCCTGTGCTGATTACCGCAGGTAGTATTGCCACCCCTGTGTTGATTACTGCAGGCAGTGTTGCCACGCCTGTGTTGGTTATTCCGGGCAGTGTTGCCACATCAGTGCTGATGGCTGGAGGTAGTGTTGCCACACCAGTGTGATGGCTGGAGGTAGTGTTGCGACACCAGTGCTGATGAGTGGAAGTAGTGTTGCTACACCCGTGTTAATTAGTGTTGCCACGCTTGTGTTGCAAATATTGCTGAGAGTTTTAACAGAAAGAAGCAGCAGTGCAGTGTTTCCCTGAGCTAAGTGCTGGAGTAGGTACCCAAGCCAGTGTTTCCCTAAGTAAGATGCTGAAGTAGGTACCCAGCCAGTGTTTCCCTGAGTTAGGTGCTGGAGTAGGTACCCAAGAAAATGTTTCCCAAAGTTAGGTGCTGGAGTAGGTACCCAAGACAAGTATCATGCTGTTTCTCAACCTTATGATCCGCGTAGACCTAATCTCCCAGCTCCTTGGATCAAACCTGATTACTCCTCAGGCGCAGTATACTCCCTTTCCTACGGTGTGTCGTAATGGTTTACAAGACTGACATATTGAGGAGCGAAATACTTAGTATTAGGAATCTTTATTCAGGAAACTTTTCGCCAGCCACTGGCTGCTTCAGTCCAATACAAAGAAGAATGGTGAAAGATGAGGACGAGAATAAGGTAATCAGTCCCACGGTCTTCAGTTGACGTGTACAGCATATGCTGTATTTTTCTCAAGACTGATGAACTCAACATATGGATTCCAGGCTGAGGGAATGATTACCTCGAACTCATCTCTCACTGTTCTTCTCTGTATTGGACTGACGAAGCCACTGGCTGGTGAAACATTTCCTCAATAAAGATTCAAAAATTTCTCATTCTTCGACCCCGTACGGGTAGGTGTACCACCTACCCATGAAGATCTAGGTGAGGGTAGGTGAACATCTAGGTGTCAGTGTGAATGATATAAACTGTTTAGGTGAAGGTGGTGACGTAATACGACTGTTTATATATGTTTAGGTGAAGGTTCTGTAATAGGTGAATGTAGATGGTCAGCAGGTGAGGGGAAGATCAGGTGTACTTGAAACTGATCAGGTGAAAAGTGAACATACATAGGTAGGTGACACTAGTTGAAGCAGCAGTATATAGGATAGGTGACACTAGGTGAAGCAGTAATGGTGTAGGTGACACTAGGTGAAGCAGTAACGGTGTAGGTGACACTAGGTGAAGCAGTAACGGTGTAGGTGACACTAGGTGAAGCAGTAACGGTGTAGGTGACACTAGGTGAAGCAGTAATGGTGTAGGTGACACTAGGTGAAGCAGTAATGGTGTAGGTGACACTAGGTGAAGCAGTAATGGTGTAGGTGACACTAGGTGAAGCAGTAATGGTGTAGGTGACACAGGTGAAGCAGTAATGGTGTAGGTGACACTAGGTGTAGCAGTAATGGTGTAGGTGACACTAGGTGAAGCAGTAATGGTGTAGGTGACACTAGGTGAAGCAGTAACGGTGTAGGTGACACTAGGTGAAGCAGTAATGGTGTAGGTGACACTAGGTGAAGCAGTAACGGTGTAGGTGATACTAGGTGAAGCAGTAATGGTGTAGGTGACACTAGGTGAAGCAGTAATGGTGTAGGTGACACTAGGTGAAGCAGTAACGGTGTAGGTGACACTAGGTGAAGCAGTAACGGTGTAGGTGACACTAGGTGAAGCAGTAATGGTGTAGGTGACACTAGGTGAAGCAGTAATGGTGTAGGTGACACTAGGTGAAGCAGTAATGGTGTAGGTGACACTAGGTGAAGCAGTAATGGTGTAGGTGACACTAGGTGAAGCAGTAATGTGTAGGTGACACTAGGTGAAGCAGTAATGGTGTAGGTGACACTAGGTGAAGCAGTAATGGTGTAGGTGACACTAGGTGAAGCAGTAAAAGGTGTAGGTGACACTAGGTGAAGCAGTAACGGTGTAGGTGACACTAGGTGAAGCAGTAACGGTGTAGGTGACACTAGGTGAAGCAGTAATGGTGTAGGTGACACTAGGTGAAGCAGTAATGGTGTAGGTGACACTAGGTGAAGCAGTAACGGTGTAGGTGACACTAGGTGGTAAGTTAGTCATGTTAACATTAACCTGAGAAGTTAATAACATCTTTTATCATGTTGATCTTGTGTATGTTCTCCCCTCACCCTCCCCTCCCCTCCCATCTCCCCTCACCCTCCCCTCCCCTCCCATCTCCCCCTCACCCTCCCCTCCCATCTCCCCTCACCCTCCCCTCCCATCTCCCTCACCCTCCCCTCCCATCTCCCCTCACCCTCCCCTCCCCTCTCTCCTCATCCTCCCCTCATTTCCCTCACTCTCCCCTCATTCCTCATCCTTCCCTCACTTCTCACCCTCCCCTCCCCTCTCTCCTCATCCTCCCTTCATCCCTTCCATCA